TTTTTAGGTCAACAAGAAGATTTTTATTACTTCATTAATTAAGGACATACATCAGATATTATACCAATAGCCATTTTCGCAAGATAATCGGTAACATGGTTTTGTGATCTAGCAACATGCCTAAACTCAATAAAGTGAAATAGGGGAATAAAAGATGCAATGTCTTGCAAAATCCCAAAGAGTTCTTTGATCGGTTTGGAGGAGTTTATAGCTCCTATTAAAATCTGTGAATCCGAGTACAAGCAGATGTTGGAGAGCCCTCTGATTTGTGCTTGTGTCAAAGCCAACCGGATAGCAAGTGCTTCCGCCATGAGTGGTGAGCTTACGTATTGTTCGGATTTTGTCCCCTGACCGAGCCACGATAAGCTTGAGCTATGAGGTACTTGTCTCTGAAAAGTTCAACCCAATCCTGCTAATAGCGTCTCTTCTTTCCACGCACCGTCCGTGTGAATCACAAATGTATCATCCCGGAGGGCACAAACTAAGTTTGTAGAGAGACGGGGGTCTTGTTCACATTTTGCACCAATCTGCGTAGACTGCCATTCTCGGGCTTCTCTCAGTGCTTTAGACACCGTATCTTGCTCTGAGTGCATTCTGTTTTCGAAGATTTTCTGGTTTCGTGTATACCATAGTGACCAGATCACCCAAGGAAAAAGAGGACTTAAGGCTATCCTTGTCGGAGGCAGAGCCACCATTATGTTTCCAGCTTTTAGTCCAGATTTGAGGTCTGAAATTTGCAGGGGATCAAGAGGAGACTTAAAGGGGACTTGGGACCAAACTCTTACTGCAAAAGGGCAGTGAAACATGAGATGACATGTAGTTTCCACAGCCCCGCAATGTACGCAATTAGTGTTGATATTTATGCCTCTCTTCATCAAATTTTCACCAGTTTTCAAAGCCTTAAGTGCACATCGCCACATGAACACTTTTAGCTTCAGAGAGTAGACCCCTTTCCATATCTCAGCGGTCTATTCCAATTCTAAATGGCTTTCATCCGTACGCATTAGTTGAGCTTCTGCTGTGAAATAGCCAGACTTGGTTGTGTATTCACCCGAGTTGTTTGGGATCCAACATACACGATCACTTACCCATGTTTTGCTTGGTTTGATGCAGAAGACACTCTCATATCTAGTTCAGTCTCTCTCTGAGGACCAAAGGGTCGGATTTTGTTACTTGGAGAAATCCATGAGTCACCCCATACGTAGGTATCTCGC